CTGGGAGTACAAATTTGGTTCCCATGCAGCTTGTCCTCACCGTCAGACTGGGAAGCCAGACTTAAAGCAAATGACTCAGCTACAGGCGAAGAAATGCAACAACAGAGGCAGGGACAAAGGGTTTATGTGAGGGCTGAATAAAAGCTAATACTGGGCTTCCCTGGTGGCACAGTGGTTGAGAGTCCGCCTGCCGATGCAGGGGACACGGGTTCGTGCCCCGGTCCGGGAAGATCCCACATGCTGCGGAGTGGCTGGGCCCGTGAGCCATGGCCACTGAGCCTGGGTGTCCAGAGCCTGTGCTCCACAACGGGAGAGGCCACAACAGTGAGAGGCCCGCGTACCACACACACACACACAAAAAAAACAACAAGAAAAAGCTAATACTTACTGAGTCCTCTCTGAGCATGAGGCCTAAGGCCCGAGACCTTTGATGAGGTCCCAAAGATTGGAACGTGCAGCACGGGTATAGGAGGTGCTTTGGGGTCCACGTTTGCTGTGTTGGCCTCCCCAGCTGAATATTGACTGGCGTCCATGCCTAAGCACTAGTCTCTGAGGGGTGATCGTTGCTAGGGAGAAGATGACACCCCTCATCTGCTTCTGCCCCTTCCAACATGTTCTAGAGCTTCCAGCTCAAGCAGCCAAGGCTTGTTCTCCAGCCCCTTCCACCCACAGCTTCCACCTCTTGCCTCACCCATCAGCAGGGGTCTTTCACTGCCCCACCCTCAGTCCTCACACCGTCGCCTTAACCCTGCCCTTGCCCATTGTCTCCTCCAGCCTCTCTAGGGGAGCCCCGAGCCTGCTCCCCAGGCTGCACCCGCCTCCCATTCCCCAGGGCTCCCTCTGCAGTCCCCTCATTTCTCCTCTAGCCTTTGCCCCAGGTCCCCTCTGTCCATCTTAGATCTGCCAGCTACCAGTTTCCATCACTGCCCACTCCCATCCCTAGCCCAGCTTCTTCCTCCCAGAGGAAGCCCCTCTCTTTCTGCCAGATTCTCCCGTTGGGGCTGGCAGCCCCTCCCCATCCCCATTACCTTCCTGCTAGCTACTGCTCCCAGGAGCCAGGAAGCTCAATGTTAGATGTCCCTCTTTCTGCCCTTGAACTCTGGGAGCCACAGGCCTTCCCAACATGGACATGTGTTTTTTAAATTTATTTTTGATTTTTCAAATCTACTTGCTTCTTTAAACAAAAATTTATATTGAAAAAGTGACTGATTTTTTTTAAAATGCTGAGTAAATAACAGGACAGGTGGTGGGTGAAGTTAGCAACAAAGATGGACGATCAGGAAGCGCTGTATTTCCCCATTCAACCTTACCACGGCCCAGTGAAGTTCACGTATGGACTGCTATCACCCCCACTTTGCAAAGGGAGCCCCATCTGGGTTCTGTGATGAATTCCTTCATGTCATATGACATAGTTTAAGGAATTGGCTTTATTGGGGAAAGGACAAACTTACAAGGCTGGGCTTGTCCCCTGAACCCCATCATCCCACTGAGTTTGGGTGCAGCCTTTCCCCCAGGAGGGTGGGGTGAAGAATCCCATTGGAGCTGGCTTGTTGCAATGGCAACAAAGAATGAGATCCTGGCGTCGCCTTGGGCAATTGTGCTCATCCAACCATGATCCCCATTTTATAGATGTAGAAACGGACCAGAGAAATTTAACAATTTGTCCAAGTCACAGACCAATTCCAGGGCCTAAATTCAAAACCAGTCTGCTATTTTATACACAAAGAAAAAAGACTTTATGAAGTAACAAGGAGGGGAAGACCTCTGCTCTCTGGGCTTCACCTTGTATCTCTGAGAAGTGAGGTGATATTCTGTGAGGACCCAGCCAACCCCCTGGTGTTTTGACCCTTTCCCCCTTCACCGCACTCCCTTCTGCTCCCCACCAGAGCCGTGTTGGCACGTTGGGAGCTGTGAGGGCTGCTGCAACCCATCTCCTTTGCTGATTGTAAAGAAGGCTTAGCAAGAAACTTCCTACGCTTAACCCTCTATGCCAGAGAATTAGTACCCAAATTAAAATGATTTCAACAGTTTACATTTTAAAATACCTTATAATCACTGGCAATGGTTCATGGTAGAGCTATCTATAGAAATTTTTGAGATCTTGTACATAAGCCTCAAGAGGAAAATAGGAGCTGTTTCTTTAATTCTTATTACACAATTTTTAAGAAACGCTTTCATATTCCATTCAACTCTTTCTTCCCTTTTTCCTTTCTCTCTCACTGGTTCTGAAAAATAAGTGTAGACATAAAAATGCAGGCTATAGAAAGCTGACTTTTTCTATATCTAATAAAAACCTTGGGGAGTAATTGAAATAATTTGGCACTGGCAGTCAGGTTACATGCTGCATAATATCAAAGGAAAAATCCGTAGTGAGGAAAGCAGCAGAAAACAGGAAGATGTGCTGGAGAATAAAGCCAGGACATTAAATAATGAGTAACTATGAGAAACTTAAAAAATTATTTTTATAATTACATCCTTAGAAAAATAGTCAAGAAGCATCTTCAAAGAAGTTATACTAGACAAAGTGTACACTCTCTGTATTTCTAAGGATTTTGAATTTAAAGAAAAGAACAGAAATACTCCTCACCCCCAACTCCACCCCGGCATCTATTCATTAGATAAAAGTCTGACAGAAGCCATGGATTTCAATCAAATTTTGACACACATGTTTTTTCGTGATTAGGCTATCCTCCCATCTCCTTTCTCCTTTTTTATCTCCACGATCTGAATTTTAAAGAAATGCTGTCAAGACAGTGTACCACAAAAGGAGAGATGTCTACTATAAATTGTACTGAGTACTTTTCAGAGAATTTTACTTTGGTCTTTTAGATTTTACAGAAGATGGCTGCATTCATTGTGGGAGAAAAGTGACGTTGAGATGGCACGTCTGGGTCTTGTGAGAGAGAAATGCTGGTGTCACAGGCACATGGGGAGAGTGCATCTTCCAGCCTGCATTTCTGGCCAAATCCTATTCCTTATTCTGCACCCTAACATGGACTCTTGGCTGTGGACCTTGGGCAAGGTCTTTACTGTTCCTTCATTCAGTTTCCATCTAGATCTTTTTTTTTTGGTTGTTATTTCTATATAAACCCAAAATCTGTGGGAAACAGAAATATTTTAAAAAAATGAAAGCTATCACCCATAATTTATCAAACATAATGATTTTGGTGTATTTTCTACCAATTTTCTTATGTACTGCTAGTTTTTTCTTTTTTTTTCAAAATACAGTAGATATTAAATTATACTATCCAATTTTATATGCTAATTTTTCTTTTGGCAGTGTTTTGTCTTTCTAAATAAAAATATATGGACTTTTAGTCCTCATTTTCTAGAGCTGCATAATATTCCACATGGTGTTTTTGTGTTCTTTGTTTTTACAGTCTACACCAACAGAGCTTTTGACAGCACTGGGACTGTTTGAATATCTCATTAAAGGAGAAGAGAGAGAGCAACAAGGGGTCAGTATTCACTTTGTGTCTATGATGATTCTTAGCCAGGTTGTATGACAACTTTCCAATAAACTGTTGGTCATGTTCATACGCAGAGAGACAAGGTTGATTTCTTTCTGTGGGTCAATCTCGGATCATAGACCGGTGACTGTATTATCGTTGTTGGTGTCTGACTGGAGTGAGATAAGCTGGGTACAAATTCCAGCTCTGCAACTTTCTATTCTGTGATCTGGACAGGGCTCTTGGTTCTCTCTATGCCTCTGTTTTCTCAGCTGTAACAGTGTAGATATCATTACAAGTTTCCAATTCTGAGAAACGTATTTTAATACATTTAATACTGGGTTGAGCGCTGTAATCAATGTGTACATTGCCATTTTTCTTTCCTTTTTCCACCGTTAACACTCTCCAGAGCTAATACAATCAATGATATCTTAGAATTGAATATAATATGTAATATAATAAATACTTGCTTTATAGTTTGTTGAAAGGATTAGGTGAAATATTATACATAAATTGTTCTTAGCGTTTGGTAAGAGATCAGCAATCAGCTATTATTTTATTAGTAAGAAAAAAACTATGTTGTCCTTAGAATAGAGCATTTGTTCTGTGTAGAATATATATGATAAACAATACATTATTTGTAGGTCATATATTTAGATAAAACTTGTACTGCTTGGAAAATTCCTTAATACTCTGTTGATTAGAGATGGCATAGATGGCAAATAGGTTTAACTTTATGTGCCAAGTCTAATCTGTTGATGATGATTGTCAGGTGTGCTGTGCTGTGAGAATCACTGAAGCAGAATAGCAGACAAGAGTGCTAAGGTGGGTTAGTTAATATCTTCCCCAGACTTTGGAAGATGGAGTGGCAACACACAGACTAAGTGTTTGCCATCTCTGCATTATGTGTCAGCTCATTAGGTACTAGCCAGGCCATGGTTTATCAATCAGGGGTTTCATCAAAATCTTGTGGACTGAATCTGGGTCCAAGGTGGGAGGTGAGAACCACACAGGTAAGAAACAAGCCCAGAAGACACAGATGTCTGGGAAACATGGGAAGCTGATGGAGACAATACCCTGAAAACACGTTCCCTTTTAAAATGGCTTTGGGGGATTTCAGCCACAAACTTTTAGCTATTTTTCGTGAAACTCCAACCCCAGTAGAAATGTGGGAGACTTTGCAACATAAGGGAGGGCAGAGTCTTTGCAATGACCTTGATTTCGCTCAGCCCTTGTTCTGCAAATGCTCACTTAGGTCTTGCTTCCTGAGCCTTGATGCCCTGCACCTTGGCCTTTCTAGAGCTTTGCTCTTGGATGACTGAGGTGCCCCTGTGGTCTCTACCTTAATGGCATCTTGTCTTGTTCTCTTTTGCTATGGGTAAAAGGCTTTAAAAGGGCCCCTCTCTCAGAAAAGGAAATGGTATTGAAAAGGGGGACTGTTCATTTTATTCTATGTTCATTATTATCTAATCCTCTGCTTTTGTGGTACTTATGAAATAAAACCAATCATTAAAGGCACATTGGTGAAAGTTTAAATGGAACACTACATACCATTTCTTGAAATGTTCTGGTAGTCCCTGTGATTGCAGTGGTTTCTTTTCCATAAACGAAGGTAAATAGAGTTTTCTTTAACTCTGAAAGAAATATATATGTGTATATTTAATGACAGGACATTCACATGATGGAGTTAAAAGAAACATGGTTTTATTATGAGTTTTTAAATGTGAAAATGAACTCAGAAAATCAAATCTCTGCAGGCACATTTTCTCTAAACTGTCAATACATTATTAGGAGTTGTTATAAGAAACAGTTCTACAAAATGGGTTGCACTGATGTGATAAGATCAAACTTTTTCTTCTTTTTATGAAGACTTCCAGTCATCCCTTTCTAACCTTTTAACCAAGAGCTGCTGTAAGGCTCTTGAGCAACTGGTCATTTTTACCAACTTGGTTATTTTGAATCTGATCATGTTCCCTTTCTTCTTTTGGTTGCTGTGAAGCTGTGGCAGACACTCCTGTTGTCTTTCAGATCCATTTCTCCCCCTTCATCCATTTTAATAGAAGTTTCAATAGGACATGTGTCTGCCCCGAATGATGACTGCTTTACTCAGCTTCCCTTGCAGTTAGGAGTGGCCACTTCACTAAATTCTGGACAATAAGATGGAAGGAGAAGTATCCAGTGACAATTTCTGGGAATGTTTCTCAGGAAACAATTGGCAGGTGACCCTTGCTTAGTCCTTTTTCTCCATTCTGCTGCCCACAATAGGAATGCTGTCATCTTGGACTATGGGGATAAGTTCTACACTGAGAAAACAGAGGCGTGAGCTGGAAGGGCCCTGGATCCCTGAGGACCAGTGGAGTTGACCTCCCATATCAGACCTGGACTGCATATGCGAGAGAAATAAACTCATCTGTCATCTTATTTAAACCACCCATACGCTGAGTTTGTCCGTTACTTATAGCTGAATCTAATACTAATGGACACAGATTTTAGAGACAAATTTTCAACCAGCATCAGGCTGTAACTGCACATATTTTAAGTCACTTTATTGGCTCCTCTTTGTCCCATCTTTGATCTTCTATCTTCTTTTACCAAATTTTAATTTAATTTAAATGGAATTTAATGTCATGTTCTCTATACTTTTATAGGCTTCCTAAAATCCATTTTGAAACAAGACCAGGTATAAACTAATGAATAATAATTAAACTCAGATATATTTGATTATTCCTCAAGTGTATTTTACCTTCTCTTCATTATAATAAACTTCATATCTCACAACCTTACATAAATCATCACTTATTTTTAAGGTTATGTAAGTCTCACTCATTGTATTGTGGTGCTTTGCCTACTGTCTCAGTGTTTCAGGTTTGGGCACTTAGAACGCACTGTAAGTATCGTTCTCTCTGAAGTCTGAGGAAACCAATAATAATAGAAAAAAAACTTGTGGTTATCAAAGGGGAAAGGGGGAGGGAGGGACAAATTAGGAGTTTGGGATTAACACGTACACACTACTATATATAAAATAGATAACCAACAAGGACCTACTGTATAGCACATTCTTTTCTAAGTTATTTCGTAATAACTTATAAGGGAAAAGAATGTAATGAAGAAGCTAATACAACACTGTAATCAACTATACTTCAATTACCACCCCCCCAAAAAAAAGAAACTACTAGTAACAGTTCTTAATAGAAGACCAAGATCTCTGAACAATATTTTAATTATGGAATTTTTGCTTTGTGGTAGAGTTTTGAGGTGAGTGATTTATTTTACTTTTGAAAATCAAAGCTACCCATGCGCATAGTTTTAAAAATCAAATTCATTTTACTTGAATAATGTTTAAGGGGCCTTACTATGTTCCAGGCACTATTCGAGGCACCTGGGTCCTACTGGTAAATGAAAAAGATGAAGATCCCTGCCCCTGTGTCATTGACATTCTGGCAGGGAAAAGGACCCACTAAACATCACGAATAGGCAAATTATGGAGCATGCTAGAAGACAGTAAATGCTATGGAAAAAAGGGAGGCAGGGGAGCTAGGATTAGAGTGGTCAGAACAAGGCTTATTGAAAAGGTGGATGTGAGCAAAGACTTGAAGTGGTGAGCCTTACAGAAAAAATAGTTGAACTATTTTCGTCTATAAGGCTTGTAGTGATAAACAGCAAGCTCACACTCCCCATTCCTCCCCATTTCTCCATTCCCAGAGGCAATTAATTTCAACCTTATTTGACTGAGTCTCTTCATATTTTCTTTCTTATCTCTAAATAACATACTTTCAAGGCTACTTCTTGATTTTCAGTCTTTGGCATTATCTATTCACTTCCCACTATCAAGAGGAGGATTTAGCTATTCACAACAGATCTATGATTGCTTTTTCTTCTCTTTACAACGCTTTCATTTCCCTGGAGTTAATAGCTGCCTTTGTTTCTTTGTTTAATTTTCTTAAGTGTTTATCATCAATTCACCCTTAAATCTTTTTTACAGTTGTTTGATCTCTTTCAATATGCTCTGATGTATCAGATAGTTGATTAATTTCATCTCCTAGTGGAAATCTCTCCTGGGTCCTCTTGCCCTGCTTAATCAGGACTTGTTGCCCTCTCACTCTGCTGCAGAGCAGATATCCTATTTCCTGGAAGACCACATTTTTCTTATATTTGATGGAGAGTACTTTTACGTAACGTTTGAAGGATGTGTGTGAAGTAACATTACTTTTTTTAGCATCTGAAAATGTTTTTATTTTTGACTTAGTGAGGTGTAGGGTGGTGAGGTATTGCTGGTGAGGTGTAAGGCGGGCCCAGAAACACAGCTTGCACCATAAATACAAACACAAATAAGGGTTAATAGGACTTGTTGGGGACGAACTTCAAGTAGAGAAGTAACAGTGTTCACCTGGTCCCTGAACTCTCATTATCTCATAGAAAAGTGTCTTAGACAGGACATAGCTAGACTGGACACATATGGGACACCCTATATATTTTTAGGGAAAGCAGGTTCTGGTGTTTATAAGTTGCTATATAATAATAATAATAATAATAAATTTCAGGGATAGGTAACTGTTTTGTTAAAAAGGAGGAGTTCCAAACAGGATGAATCAGCTTCCTGTTAAGTACCAATAGGAAAGAGGAAATGGGTCTCCAGAATTATCAGTTTGCCTCTTGTTGACTGGTGTGGTAGACTTAAGAATAGCCTCATTATCTTTGACACCCCTACCCTTAAATGTTGGCTGTCTTGTTACTTCTTTGACCAAAAAGATATGGTGGAAGCGACACTATGCCAGTTTTGGCCTGGCTTTTAAGAATCTTGGCAACTTTGGTCTCTTGGAGCCCTGGTCCACCACCTAAGAAGTCTGACTATCTTTCTGGAGACACCATGTTAAAAAGGCCCTATAGTGGAAGCAACAAAGATGTCCTTCAATAGGTGAATAGATAAACCGTGGTACACCCATACAAAGGACTATTATTCAGCAATAAAAGGAAGTGAGCTATTACGCCATGAAGAGACATAGAGGAAGCTTAAGTGCATATTGTTAAGTAAAAGAAGCCAATCTGAAAAGGCTACATTCTGTGTGATTCCAACAATGTGACATTCTAGAAACGGCAAAACATGGAGACAATAAAAAAATCAGTGGTTTCCAGGGGTTAAGAGGAGGGAGGCGGGTATTAGCAGGTGGAGTAACAGGGGCTTTTTAGGGCAGTGAAACTAATCTGTACAATACTGTAATGATGGATATATGTCATTATGCATTTGTCAAAACCCATAGAATGCACAACACAAAGAGTAAACCCTAATGTAAACTATAGACTTCAGTTAAGAATAACGTATCAATGTTGGCTCTTCATTTATAACAAATCTACCACACTAATGTGAGATGTCAATAATAGGGGAAATTGAGGAGATGAGGGAGTATTTGGGAACTCTCAGTACTTTCTGCTCATTTTTTCTGTAAACTTAAAACTGCTCAAAAATTAAAATTTATTTAAAAAAAAAACAAACCCTACCTGGAAAGGAAAAGAGATCCAGCTAAACCCAGGCTTCTGGTCACCCCTTGTCAGGCACCCACTTCATGTGAGTGAAGCCATCTTGGACCCTCCAGCCCAGCGCTAAGTGAATACTGTCATGTCCATGGTCAATATTACATGGAGAGGAAGAATTAGCCAGCCAAGCTCTGCCTGAATTCATGACCTCCCAAACTGTGAGGTATAAAAATGCCTTGTTTTAAGCCACTAAACTTTGGAGTACTTTTTACACAACAATCGATGTGCAGAACAGATGCTTATAGAATTCTGGGTTAATATCGTTTCCCCTCAGAAGTTTGAAGGAATCGATCCATTGGATCCTGACCTACCTATGTTGTTGTCTGAAGCCATTCTGTGCCTCAATCCTTTGAGAACCTGAGTAGCACCTGTTCCAAGTGTTCTGAAGTGTCATGATGACAGGCTTGGTGTGGTTCTATTTCCATTCAGTGTTAGACACACTTTCAACCTGGAAATTCATGTCACTCAGTTCTGAGAGGTGTTCTTGAATTATTCCACTGATGATTTCTTCCTTTCTTAGAACTCCTATTATTTGGATACTGGGTCACCTAGACTGGTCCCCTAATTTTCCTAGTTTTTCTATCTTAGTTTCCATCTCTTTGTCTTTTGCTCTATTTTCTGGATGATATCCTCAACATGATTTTTCAATACATCCATGAAATTCATCTTATGTCATTAGTATAATCTCCCAATGACCTTTTTTGGTCTCTGAATATTTCTTTAATTTTAGTATAATGTTTTAATTTCGTGACTGTAATATCTCCTCTTATTTTTTTGAAGATATCATTTTAATTATTTTTATAAGTAGGATATTAATTAAAGTTAAAAAAATTTCCCCTTGGAGCACTGTCTCTGTTATCTTGAAGTTGTTTTTCTGTTTGTTTTTGTGTTGTTTTTCACATTCGAGGTTGGTCTCAGATATCTGATGATCTTGGGTTGTTGGCTTATGTGTAAAAGTGGAAACTAGCTGAAAACTCAAAAGCTGATTGGAAAGTGGGCCTGCTGGGTGTGGCTTGCTGTCTATGGCCCTTACTAGAGGGTGGACTGGCTGGGCCTTTCTCAGGGAACCCCTGCTGTCCGAGTCTTTGGGGCTTTCCTCTTA